AGGCCTGTGGTATGGTTATATTTTTGTGGCAAAATAAGTTAAATGAGATCCCTGGAGCATGGCTTTGGAGGTGCAGAGCGATAAGGTTAGGATGCTCCAATTAGCCAAGCAGTGGCTTAGCAGTTGGCAATGAATCTCTGTGGGCGCAATGGTACAATCTGTCATTGTGACAACCATGGCGGCTCTCTTGCTGGCACCGGAGGAAATATTGAGGCAAGCTTTTGCTTGTGTGTCCCAGGTTAAATAAACAAAAGTAATGACTTTGGCAGCTCCATAACTGTGAAGGCATCATCTGCGCTCCCTAAGTGAGAGGTGGCTTTATCCATCATGCGCTTAGAGGTCTGCATTTGCGTGAAGGAGTTGGCATTATCTAAAGCAGGGTTAAGAGCAAACATTTTTTGATACAGAGAAGGCCCAAACAGAACTGCTCATTATGGATTTTTAACCCAGCTGAAGAGCAAGGCGATCAATCTTAACAGGCAGAGGACCAATTAGAGGGACAGAATTATAGGAAAGCTGGCGAGGCTATTTCAAGGTGTTTGCAAGCCTGCAAAATGGTGGGACTGGTGATCACTCTAATGCCAGTTGTGTTGAAAAAGTGTCATCTATCTGGATGTATATCTAGCCAAGGATGGACATTATGCAGATAAGCAGAGAGCAGAGTCAATACAGCAGGTGCTCTCTGCAGTTTTTATTGCTTAATTAGATTAATCGATGGTAGTATGAAATCATTCTTTGGTTGGCATCCCGTTATTGGCATATGCAAGTGTAATTCCTCTCTCTGTGTGTGTCTCTGTGTATCTTTGCAGAGACTGGCATTCCCTTCCTCCCTCTGCAATGACCAAACTCTCCCCAGGACTTACTATGCCACTGTGATAACTGGCTCCAACAATCATTATAGTACAGGTAGCGAGTGGATTTGTGAAACATCTGGCTATGCTCCCATAGTCAGGCACATAGTGATGACACCATCTGCTGAGGGCTCTTGGTGGAAGATGTCCTCAATCTGTGCATGACTAGCCAGAGGCTTCTTCAATCTCCCTCAAGAAAAAAATTCTCTGTGCTCTCTGTCCCATGTCTGCCACAGAAATCAAATGTATAGTGCTGTCAGCCTGCATGTTCCTTCTCCAAAAGACCAGATCACCCATGAACTTCCTAGTGTCATGTGTAGTTTAGCCCACAAGTTCTCACATTCTTGCTCATGAAGAACGTTTCAAGACACGGGCCCAATTCTCACCTTACTTTGCTATAGTGAAGTCCACATAGTAGGTTGAGTAGGTTGTTTTCTCATCAGAAAGAAGATTTCATTTCAGTCCACTCTTGTGCAATTTCGAGGGTGGCTAAAACAGTCATAAGATAACAGGGACTACTCTGGTTTCTCTTCAGATCGTATAAATCTTTCGCCTTTTACTAAACATAGCAGGGACTAAGATGTAGTGAAAAGTTCTGCTCAGGTGTAACTACATCACGTTTCCCTTCTCACAAGGCTCAATTTTATCCTGTGTGTGACCAAGATACACAGCAATGGATCTTGCAATGCTGGCATAAGGTAGGCAGCATTTGAGAAGCTGTTGGCTATGTTCTTATAGCAAGACATGCAATGATGACATCATCCTTGGAATATAGGGTCCAGATAGAGAGAAGTCACGGTACCATTCTATTCTTCATTGGTCAGACCTGACCTGGAATACTGTGTCCAGAAGAGAGTGATCAAGATGGTTAAAAATTCAAGTCCTATGAGGAGCAGCTCAATGAGCTGGGCATGTTTAGCCTGGAGAAGAGAAGATGATGTGATAGCTATCTTTAAGTATCTAAAGGAATGTTACAAAGAAGACGGAGTGAGATTGCTTTCAGCTGTTCTAGAGACTGCAATACGAATCAGTGGATTCAAATTACCAGAAAGAAGATTCCATCTAAATATTAAAAAGAATTTACTGATAGCAGTGATATAAGACAAAAACAATAAGGGGAGAACAAGAGATCTATTTCACAAGATCTGGGAAATCAAAGAAAAATTCAAACCAAGGACTGGGACAATCCATGACAATAAAAATAACATAATTCAAGACCAGGAAGGAATAAAAAGACATTGGATGCAATAGACAGAAGAATTATACAAAAGACATGAGAAAATGGAGGACACATGGACTGAAGAGCCATATGAAAATGAAACCCAAATTCTAAAAAGTGAGGTGGAAACTGTAATAAGAGAAATAGCAAAAGACAAATCACCAGGAACAGAAGATATTCCAATTGAACTGCTGCAGTCCACATTGACAGAGTCAACTCTAGTGCTAACCAACATATGTCAACAGATATTGAAAAAAAACAAAACAAAACAAAACAATGGACAACAGATTGGAAGCAATCAATATACATCCCCATCCACAAAAAGGGAGATACAAGAGTTTGCAGCAACTATAGGACCATAGCACTGATCTCTCACACAAGCAAAATCATGCTCAAAATCCTGCAACTAGACTCCAACCATACATGGAAAGAGAGCAGGGTTCAGGAAAGGAAGAGGCACTAGGGATCACATTGCAAACATATGATGGCTAATGGAGAGCACCGGGTATTCCCAAAGAAAATCAGCATGTATTTTATAGACTATAGCAGGGGTGGGCAACCTTTTTGAGCCAGGGGCCGGGTTGCTGTCCCTCAGACAATTGGGGGGCTGAAGCAAAAAAATAAAAAATTAAAATTAAAATTAAAAACATTAAAAAAAATATGCATGCACACTCTCTCAGCCCCAGAAAAGCCATGGCAAAACCCCTGTGGAGATTTTGCCAAGAAAACCCCAAGAACAAGTAATAACAACAATAATCATTATCATCATGGAAACGACTGGAAGGCAGGCCCACAAACAAACAGGGATGCATGCACACTGTCTCAGCCCCAGAAAAGCTATGATAGCAAAACCCCTGTGGAGATTTTGCCCAGAAAACCCCAAGAACAAGTAATAACAACAATAATCAATATCATCATAGCGGGGGGTGGCGGCGGCGGCAGCAGGACCGGCCTGGGGCTGGCCCAAAGACCTCGGGGGCCCCCGGGCCGTAGGTTGCCTACCCCTGGACTATAGCAAAGCCTTTGACTGCATAGACCATGAAAGGCTATGGAATGCCCTTAACGACATGGGAGTGTGAATACATCTGATAGTTCTGATGAGGAATCTGTACTCAGGACGAGAGGCTACAGTCAGAACAGAACATGGAGAAACAGAATGGTTCCCAATTGACAAAGGGGTCAGACAAGGCTGCATCCTTTCACCTTATCTGTTCAACTTGTATGCAGAACATATAAGAAAAACAGGCTTGGACACAGAAGGAGGAGGAGTGAAAATAGGAGGAAGGAATATCAACAATCTAAGATATGCAGATACCATAATACTATCAGAAAGCCTCACAGACCTGGAACACCTACTAGGAAGATCAAAGAAGAAAGTGCTAAGGCAGGCTTAGTGTTGAACATAAAGAAATCAAAAATAATGACCACTGAGGACCTTCACAAGTTCAACCTAGACAGTGAAGAAATAGAAATAGTAAAAGAATTCCTATACCTGGGATCAAACACTGATAGAAATGAGGACTGTAGTCAGGAAATAATTAATAATAATAATAATAATAATAATAATAATAATAATAATAATAATAATAATAATAATAATTTATATCCCGCTTCTTGACAGCAATCTAAGCTGCTCACAATAAAATCCTTACAGCATATCCCTGGACCAACCTCCCCCCTTAAAACAGTATTAAATAACAGATAGTTAACGTAAACAATATAAACATATTAAAATAAACCATATCAGGAACAGAC